AAATACTAATGCATGAAAATCCTAACCTCAAAAAAATCACCCGTTATTAGGGATGTTAATTTTTTCGCCTTTTACGATAGCAGGATTTTCGGGATGTCGTTATCACAACCCGGAATATCGGGGTTAGTTCCGGAATTTAAATATTCATTACTTTTCAACAATTTAAATCGAAAAAATTACTTTTGAAGCCCATCTCTCTGACATCAGCATTTATTTTAAAGGACTTTGTAATTTCAAAATTTGAAACCTAAAAAATACCGCGATCTTGGGATCCCGGGATTTACATTCCTAGTACTTATCCCAATTACCAAACGGAATAAGCCAGCACTTTTTCGAGATGACAATTTTGATGCAGTTCGGTTCGTTTATAGGAGATCCGTTCAATTGTATTAAATTCTTCAAATTGGTCAAATGGGGATTTAGTCCCTTTGGTAACTAACCGATTCATATTAAAAACACCAAATATAATAAATAAATAGTACATATTTGTGGTGTGCGTCTCGAAGTTATTACGCAATTGAACGAACCTACAGTTTTTCGCCGGCTCCAAATGGCAGATGGATTTTATGGGAAGCTGTTTTCAAAGCAGTAACACACTCGGAGGTTTGGCTTTGCCTGCCAAAAGGCGAAAGTGGAAGTAATACTCTATTGTAATATACCAACATATAGTGACGAACGAAAGTATTGGCACAGATTTTTCGCAACATATGCAAAGTTTATTATTCTAATTTATTTTTGATAACTTTTTTATAAAAATATAGTCCATACTACGATAAAAAAAAAATAAAAATACATATTGAAGTCCCGATTTAGTAGAAACAAAAAAATTTAAATACTCCCGCTAGTAAATAATTGTATCACATATTTGCTGTACAACTATGACGTCCGCCGACAGGGCGTATGAGTAACTTCATGCAATATTTTATCTTCTGCTGGATATAGGGATTTTTCCTTATATTTATATTGCAATTTCCACATACGCCGCCAACGGACCTTGAAAAATATTAGTTTTCTAAATCAAGAATACACTATTTAGCTACTATAAAAACAGAACATAATTAATTTGCTGAAAAGAAAATATAGAACTTGTTATTGTGCAAATTTTCTATTCTGATTTAAAAAAAAGTATATATAAGTATGCAGTTTTGCAAAGAGCAAGTTTGAAGTTGGTAGAAAATCGCGTTGATTTTTTGGAAATTTCTTTAAAATTCTTCCATACAAAGTATGT